TACACAAGTGGGAATGTCTTTAATTAACAGCAAATATTTGCATGTTTCTATAAACAAAACAAACAAAGTTCAGCTCACATCATGCCCTCTTTATGTCTCTGTGACTAGTGATTTCTGATGAATTTCCTAGTTTTCTTTAATTACATAGGATTCCCGTAACACCCTTGAGGAGAAGGGATGGACAAAAGACAGCTGGTACCAGTTAATTCCCAAAGAACTTAAACACTACTGTCTTTGGTACAAACTGCCCATTGAATTGGAAGATGACTCAGTGGTTAGTGTTACTGTTACTCTTTCAGATGATCAGAGTTCAGTTCCCAGCCTCCATTTCAGGTGTCTTACAACCACTTGTAATTCCAACTACAGAGGATCTGATACTGCCCTCTTCTGGCCTTACTGGGCAGCTGTACATGTATACATGGGCACACACACACACACACACACACACACACACACACACACACACTGAGGGGTAGGGGTTATTTAACTCTTGAGATTTTATCTTCCCCCAGACAGGAAAAAGGATGTTAAAAGTACTGAAATAATGTTCTTCCATCTTCCAGATATGACAGAGAAAATGCATGCCCATCATTAATTTATTTAACACATATTTATTAAACATATATGCCACACAAAGAAGTGCATAGACAGTCACAGTCCAGACAGATATGACAGTCATTTTAGGTCAAATTCCCATCTGTAGGATTCAAAGCATGCTAATAACCATGAGACAGGTAAAAGAGAGAGTTGTTCCTCTATGCTACATGAAAAAGAGAAAGCCACAACATATGTTTACCATTGTTTAGTTATTTACACTAAAGAGAAAAATATAAACAGCAAACATCATAAGAAATATGATGTCTTATAAAATTTTGTATTATTCACTCTTGACACAAAACTATTCCTGTGCTCTGTTGTAATATTGTTACAAAATAGATGGCATTTTTATTAAGTTTATGTCTGGTGAAGTAATGGAATCTTAGTTATATTTTAATGTACTTATTTTTTCCCAATGAAGGTAACCAAGAGAGTGTTTCTCCAGCTTTTGTGTGGTTCATCTGGCTACTCTCTTGTGGTGCCTTAACTTAAATTGCTTCCATGAAACATTTCCTCACTTCATAGGATTAGAACAAATAAGATTTATCTCAAACACTGGTTAAAATATGTTTTTTTTTATTATTTTACATACCACCAACAAATTCCCTTCCTCCCAAAACTCTCTTTCTGCTTCCTCCCCAGCCCTCCCCAAACCCCCCTATCTACTCCTACCCCATCTCCATTCAGATTGGATAAGGCCTCCTATGGGAATCCACAAAGAATGGCTCATCAAGTTGAGACAGGATCAAGTGCCCTGAACCACACTTTACGGTGACTTTTGCTGCAGACTTATACACAACAGGCTCATACATTCCAGGGTAGGGGTATGTGGATTAAAAACACTAGATGTGCAGGATACAAAAGAAACACAAAGTTATAGGATAGTACCAAGAGAGAAACTCAGTAAATACTGAATGTTCTTTTATACCCCAATACGAAGAGGTGGGGGGGGGGCAAAAGAGTACTTTAACATGATACAAAGACAAGTAGAACAATTACTTGCTTCAATACTTGAAATATCAAGTCATTATTTACTGAGTATAGTATTTGATGTTTGGGGCATGAATATACAGTGAACACACCCTAGACCAAGTATACTGTAGGCAGCCACTCCCAATGTCAAACCTCCTATTTTAAAAGAAGGAAGAGAAGTAGGCCCGAATTCTCTGACCTTTGGTGGAGCGGATCCACCTCTATGGGCCATCTTAATGTCCAAAATCAAAGTAACTACACCCTAGGTCAGGGTGTGTAGCCACACTTGTCAACAACATTGAAAGAGTAAAGATAAGTTCAAGCTCTCTGACCTCCAGTCAAAGTGGAATAGGCTCACATCTGTGTGTCCTCACAACCAAGCTCCCCTCTGCCCCCTGCATCAAGGATGAACAAGGAACACCACCATAGGGAATAGGCTCCAAAAAGCCAGCTCATGCATCAGGGACAGGCCCTGATCTCACTGACAGGGGCCCCACAATAGACCAAGCCACACAACTGTCACCCAGATGCAAAGGTCCCACGTTGGTCCGATGCTGACTTTCCAGCTGTCATCCAGAGTCTATGAGCTCCCACAAGCTCAGGCCAGCTGTCTTTGTGGGTATCCCCATCATGATCCTGCCTTCCCTTGCTCTTAAAGTCCCTCCACTCTCTCTTCAGCTGGACTGCTGGAGCTCAGCCCAGTGCTGCTCAAACACTTTTAAACAAGGAGAAATTGGTAATAGAAATCCTTTTAAGAAATTTACAACTCCTACTGTCTTCAATTCTCTTCCCACTGATCATTATAATGAACTAAAATCAGGGCTCTAACAAGGAAAAAATTCACCTCTGACTCAATAATTTCTCTGAAATGGCAAATACCAAAAGGAAAGAAAACCCAGAACTCGGTGGTATAGCTGAAAATAAATGCATCTCCATCCACTAAAGTGAACTCAGGCACACTTCTCTGGAACATCATTGCTAGGGTGAGTTTTGGATGCTCACTAGGAATCAACTAGAAGAAGGAAAGTGCGAAGTGTTCAAGTGCATGATGAGACAGAAGTAAGAGGAGGGTAGAAAACATAAGAAATGAGACAGTGAAAAAGTTGGAGTTTTGATAGATAAGCAGGATGCAAGGTTGGGCAAGGTCGTGGAGGATGTATAAAATGCTGTTATGAAACCTATAGTAAGTCTGACAAACAGTGACCCATGAATGCTTTCACACCAGTTCTGCATCCATGCTCCTGAGAGGTCATTGAACTCCAATGAGGAAGGAGAAGTGGAATCTTGGAAAACAATAAAGTGATTCTTAGAACTACTGAAAACAGACAGGAAAGGAGGCTGACAGTTGCCAAAATATTTAGATAATAGGGCTTGGTAATTAGGGAATGAAGGAAGCAGGACATTAGGTATGTTTTTGTAAGAAATGCTAAAATTGAATCATTTTTCTAAAAGATCTCATTCTACAACATATATGGTCTCACATGATTTTTAAATCACATTTCCCAATAAACAGGATGTATAAACTTTATATAAGATAAACAGGAAACTATTTCTATTATTAAATACTCCTGCATGATTGCTAGAAATAGAAGTTGCCTATAATGGAGATAAAAGAATTATCATGTGCAAAATGTTACCTTATTTGTGGCTATGAATGTACTCATTATAATATGTGTAAATTAATTGGATTTATTAAGAAATAATTTAAAAGTGATAAAACTGTATTTAATTTGAAGTATACAGCTTTAACAAATGAAGACACTTGGGTAACACCAAAATGGAGATATAAAATATTTCTAGTACCACAAAATATTCTTCCTCTTTATAGTCAATTTCAAGTTCATCCTCTGTCCCAGGCAGAAATTGATCTTTCTGACAAAAATATTGGTTTTATCTATTATGGAATTATATATAAATAGAACTGTGCATACCAGACTTGATTTGATTTCATTAACTCAGCACAGTGTTTTGGAGACTCACCCATACCGTTACTTTGCATTTTGAGAAATATTCTACTCTGGGGATACACCTCAGAGTGTAATTTTGCTCTCTTGTTGATGGACATTATGGTTGTTTGCAGTTTTTGATATTATGAACAAAGCTGCTAAAAACATCCATGTGCCATTCTCCAAGTAGACATATGCTTTCAGTCTGTGATGTTTAATTTGTTTCTTTTCAAAATTGCCCAGTTATGTGGTCTCAATTCAACTTTATTTTAAAGAAACACTGCAAAATTGCTCTGTAAAATTATTGTACCATTTTCCATTTCCACCAGCTATATATAATAGTTCAGGTGCTCTGTAACCTTGCCAACATCTGGTGTTATGTTTTTAAATTTTGACTCTACCCTTGGATGTGCAATGCTGGCTCATTTTAGATGCAATTTGAATCCCATGGATGTTTTAAAATGTTGAGACTTTTTGATGTATTTATTGATCATTTTTGTATCTTTTTAGAAAGTGTTTGAACAAGGAACTTCCCATCTCTTTTTGGTTCTTGTTGTCTTCATTATTCTGAAAGAATTCACCAAATTTATATACATATATATTACTTTTGAAAGAATATATACACATACACACATATACCTATTTTCCTAATTCTGAAAAAATTCACCTTATATATAAATATATTCATATATATTTGTAATTCTGAAATAATATATAAATATAAATATATGTATATGTTG